CAGAAATGCTTTTACAAATAGAGCGCAGGTCCATACGTTGTCGCTGACATACATTCACCTACCACAGGAGTTTGCAAACAATAGATACACCTGCTTAAGATATATGTCAACACAATGAGGTAGGCTGGGGGCTGGAGAGTAGAAGTGACTCTGTCAAGCTTTGTAGCCTGCAGCATTTTCAGCGACCCTGCTGACTCAAACTCGGTTGTACCAAGTGCACAGCATCCATGGCACGGTGAGACGTAGGCTTAAGCATGGGACGTGCAGCTTGCTAGCACTTGTTGGGGGGGACCTCAAGATCTCCTAAAAGCAGGCGCTACATCTTCTGGTATGCCTTCTGGCAGCCTGTGCCTAGTTTTCTTGGGTCCAGGTTGTCTTTGATTCTTCTGGACTGCACGTCTCCATCTGAGGCCCCTTTTTAGCCTGAGGATGCATGTGAACACTTGCAATATGGGAATCAGGTCTTGAGGACTGTGCCGGTTTTAGTCAGGACAGAGTCAATTTAGTTCACAGTACCTGGTGTGAGGCTGTGTTTTGGATTTGCCCTGAGAAGAGTCCTGGTAACACTGGTGGGTTTTATTTGGTGCTAAGGAGTGCTTGTACCAACTCAAGAGCTTCTTCATCTTCTGATACTGCACCTGTGTTCCCAACTTTCTCTACAAGCAGCTGGGGGGGACAGGGGACAGGGACACGAACAGGACGACACACCAGACATCTAACTCAAACTGACCAAAGGAGTATTTCATTCCATTGAACACCATGCTTAGTAGGTAAGACGGGGGTGGGCCAAGGGACCATAGTTTGTTTATTTATTCATTAGTTGGTGCGTCGGTTGGCTTTATCGGTTGCTCTCTCGCTCAGACTCTGCTGCGACCCATCTCTCAGGCTCACTTGGACTCTGCAGCGATTGCTCTCTGGCTCCTGGGCTCTTGGGCTCAGACTCTCACTACTTGGGACCTGCCTGGGTATCAGTCAGCAGGTGGCGAGCAATTGTATCATCTGTTTTATTTTTCATTATTTATGATTAGTAGTATTGTTAATATTCTTAGCATTACTATTTTATTCATTCATTTATACTCAATTATTAAATTGTTTTTATCTCAACTCACGAGCTTCCTTGTCTTTTACTCTGACTCTCCTCCTCCCCTGGAGTGTGTGGTACTTAATTGCTGTCTGGGGTTAAACCATGACAAGGACTGAACCTGTGACTGAGCTACAGTGCAGAGGAAGCCTTTGTGTTTGCAATATATCCTTCACCCAACAGTTTTCCTTTCAAGAAGAAGAGAGTGTGCTGGTTTTAGTCAGGAAAGAGTTAACTCTCTTTGCAGTGGCTGGTATGAAGCTGTGTTCCTGGATTTACCCTGAAAAAAGTACTGATAAGGTGACTTTTTAGCTGGTGCTGGGGAGTGTCTGAACCAAATGCAAGGTCTCTCTCAGCTTCTGATACTGCAGCTGCGTTCCCAGCTCTCGCTGTGGGCAGTGTGGGGGGACACACAGTTCAGACAGCTGACCCAAACTGACCAAAGGGTTATTTCATTCCACAGTGGGTCATGCTCGGGGCATAGGCAGGGAGTGGGCTTGGGGGCCATTACACTCTTTTGCTGACTCCTTAACCTCCTTAACTCCTTCGCTAACTCCTTTGGTAGCTGTTTTGGTGGGTCATGCTCGGGGCATAGGCAGGGA